GATGTTGTTTTCCTTCGTTTGCGACCTTATCGACAGAAGAGTTTAGCCAAACGTCTTAATGAGAAGCTTTCACCTCGATATTTTGGACCATACAAAATTGTTCGTCGAGTTGGTCTTGTTTCTTATGAATTGCAGCTTCCTGAAACATCTAAGGTACATCCTATTTTTCATGTCTCGCAGCTTCGTCCTGCTCGTGGTTGTTCTGATATTGCTTCCCCTCCACCCTTACCACTATCAGGTGAATTGGAATTTATGGTGGAACCTGAAAGAGTTTTATCGCATCGTTGGGTGAAAGAATCAGGAGTGCCAACTCTGGAATTACTTATTCAATGGCGTCGTCGTCCTGTTGAAGAGGCTAGTTGGGAAGCCTATGACTTGCTTGCTGTTCAATTTCCTCTGTTCTGCCTTGAGGACAAGGCATCTATTCAGGGGGAATGCACTGATACCAACCCACCTCTCAAGACGTATTTTAGAAGAAAATATCGACAAAAGAATAAAGAGTTGAATTCTGGACAAACAACTGCTATAGCAGTTATCTAGCAGTTATTATTCCTAGTTTATAGTTTATAGTGTCAGTCTTATCCTTTTATGTTCTTATATATATGTAATTAGGATTAGTTATTAGTATTATGTAATTAAGAATCAAAACTAATATTTTCTGGAGTCTTGTCCTCTCCATACGGACAACTTTATCTGTATAGTTGTGTTTAAGATACTTGCACAAACTATTTTACAGTAAATCTACTTGCCTTGTTCTATTTTGTCGGATCTCTACTTCTGGTTACTATCAGATTCAGAGAGGGGTTCCAGTACCTGATTTCGACAAGTCTAAATATGGAGCTACGGAGGAGGATCCACGGACCGTGGATTGAACCACGGTCCGTACTGTTAATCCGTTGATTGTGTCAGAGTTGAAGATTTTTGAAGTTGGAAAATTTGCCTAAGTCCTAAACCACGGAAGGGACCTACGAACCGTAGGTCAATCCACGGTCCGTAGGTCAGTGTCGTAGATCGAAAACGCGTCTTGAAACTTTATTTCCTTATTTCGTTTCCTTTTTAGTTGGGACTTGTTTTCCTATATATAGGGCTTGTAAACGTCTTTTTTTTTTTTGGGGGGGGGGGGGCGGGGGGAGACCTTATTACTTTTATTCTACAGACTCCAGCTGAAAAGAATCCAACAGTTAGCTAAGGCTGAGGAAACATCTTGGAGACTGAAATCAAGATGCCTGTGGTTAAAAGAAGGGGATAGAAATACTAAATACTTTTAAAAAGCTTCTAACTTTCATAGGAGATACAACTGTATTGTTAGGTTGAAGGTGGGGGAGATCATTATTGAGGACAAAGTGCAAGTAAAAGAGGCTATTCTTGACTTCTATTAGAAGTTATATCGAGAGGATGAAGCTTGGAAGCCTACAGTAACCTTTTAAGGCTAGAATTGTTTGAACCAAAATGATAAGGTAGTTCCTGAACGACCATTTGAAGAAGAGGAAGTGTTGACAAGAGCTCCGGTGGCCTTCTATTAGAAATGTTGGGACACTATTAAACATGACGTTATGGTTGCCTTTCATTATTTACACAACAATTGCACCATGGTTAAATCTTTCAATGCTTTTTTTTATTGCCCTTATCCATAAAAACAAAGGTGATGTAGAACTTAAAGACTTTAGACCTATCAGTCTTATTGGTAGTGTCTACAAGTTGATGGCAAAGCTAACAGAAAGATTGAAAAAGTGATTGGGAGATTAGTCTTAGGCTATCAGAATGCTTTTATTAGAGGCTGACGGAACAAAGGTACAATCGCAAATGAAGTATTGGATTGGAGGCAAAAAAGTGGTGTCCCTGGTCTCTTATTCAAGCTGGTTATAGAGAAGGCTTTTGATAAGCTGAACTGACAATATCTCATTTCTATCCTAAGGCAAATGGGGTTTGGTGAGAAATGGATCAAATACAGCTTTTCCACAGTTATATATTCTGTTGTGGTCAACAGAAGCTCAGTAGGTTTCTTTTCCCTCTTAAGAGAAATAAGGCAAGGTGACCGCCTATCTCCCTTCCTCTTCATTCTGGCCATGGAGGGTCTCAGTAGCATGCTGGAAAAGGCAAAACAAAAGCAATAGATTGGGTTTTTCGAAGTGGGTAACAACTGTGGTCTTACAGTCCTTGTTTCTCATCTTCTCTTTGCTGATAACACTCTTATTTCCTGTGGTGCTGAGGAGTCTCAAGTGAGGTATCTCAACGACTCAACCTCACCCTTATTATCTTTGGTGCCTTATCTGGGCTCCACATTAACATGTCGAATTGCATTATATACCCTATCAATATGGTCCCAGAACTAGAGCTTCTAGCCAACATTATGTGTTGTAGCATTGGCACTTTTCCCACTACCTGTCAAGGCCTTCAGTAGAGATTTGGAATGTGGTCATTGAAAAGTTTGAGAAAAGATTGGCCTCTTGGCAACTACAATTTCTTTCTCTTGGTGGTAGATCAATAGTGTTCGTGATAGTATTCCAACTTATTTCATGTCTTTGTTCCCAATACCAACACCAGAAGAGGTTCAATATCAACTTGACAAGTTACGGAGGTCTTTTTTGTGGTAATAGTGAAAGTCACAAATTTTTATCTAGTTAAGTGGGCCAAAGTAACTCTTCCAAAGCATTTAGGTGGTCTTGGTTTAAAGGATTTAGCAGTAGACTACAAATATATGCTAATGCAATGGCATTGGAGGTTTAATCAAGATGATGTTAGTCTTTGGAAGGAGATTATCCAAGCTAAATTTGGCAGCATTAGCCATTGGTGCTCCAACCCAAGTCTTAATTCCGTATGGGTCTGGATTGTGGAAAGATATCAGGAGATTGTGGGATGAGTTCTTTCTCAACTGTTCCTTTTAAGTGGGATCTGGGCTCATCTTTTATTCTGGAAAGACAAATGGCTCGGCTCTACTACTCTTAAGGATACCTTCTCCAGGTTGGTCCCTATAACTACTAATCCAGATTCAACAATTGCTCAGAACTGGAGGACAACTCATAGAATTTGCACTTAAGAAGACACTTAAATGACTGAGGAATGGAGAACATGATAGCATTGATTGGGAGTTTGCAGAGCAGTCCAGTTCTCACTCATTGAAGTGACAGACTTAAGTGGGGTAGTAACAAGGATGGTTCTTACTCTGTCAGAGAAGGTTGCTTGCTTCTGAGCTCAAACAAGGACCTGATTGATCAATGGCATTGAAAGCTCATCTGGAAAACTAAATTACCACCAAAAGTTTCCTGTTTCTGCTGGATCACCTTAAAAGGAGCTTGTTTAACTCCAGACAATCTCATGAAAAGGAAATTTTCTTTTAGCTAAATAGATGTTACTTGTGCCATTGCACCTCTGAGTCCATTAATCACCTGTTCTTATACTGTCCAATTGCTACAGATATGTGGAGTATGTTCCTCTCTTTTTTGGGTCTACAATGGCCTATGCCTCGCACTGTCAGGGAAGTTATTGTCTGTTGGAGTTCTTGGAAAGTTGGGAACACCATCAGAAGAATCTGGTCTATGTGTGGGGGATGGTCTAAAGACAGAGTTCTGGAATGAAATATGGATAGGGGAAAACAATTTGAGAAACCTATTTCCTCATTTGTATACCCTGAGTTTGCAGAGCAATGCCACTGTGGCACAAGTCTGGAGTCAACAGGGTTGGGATCTAATTTTCAGAAGAGCATTAAACGATTGGGAAATTGAGGAAATTGCCAAGTTATTAGAGGTCCTCAATAATTTTCCAGGTACATCTCCAAGATCTGACAAGCCAAGATGGAAAATACACAAGCAAGGGGTCTACACAGTGAAGTCATGCTATTGGAAGATGAACTGCAATATTTCATTGACTGAGAGCTGGCCATGGAAACTAATTTGGAAGGTGAAATGTCCATCAAAAGTCTCATGTTTTGTTTGGCTACTGATTAGGAAAGCATGCCTTACTCATGAAGCTTTACAGAAAAGAGGCATGCATATTTGTTCAAGATGTTTTATGTGTGAACATGAAGCTGAGGTAAATAATCATCTGTTCATTGACTGTCAAACCGCTACAAGGTTGTGGAATACGTTTTTGTGCAGTCTGAGGATTAGTTGGGTGATGCCAAAGACTACTTTGGAGGTCCTGAACAGCTGGCCAGGAGTTGGAAGTAGAGGCAAGAAGGAAGAATGGTGGAAGCTCATCCCAGCATGCATCTGGTGGTCTATATGGAAGGAAAGGAATGCTAGGTGTTTTGAAGGACAGAAAATCAATTTTCAGAGGATTAAAGCTAACTGTAATAGTCTTCTATTTTTTTTTGGTGTAAACAAGACTTGGTGGGGGATGGGGTAGAATTAGTTGATTTGTTAGGAAACTTGTAATCTGATTACCATCATGGAGGTGTGCTCATCACGCTATGGGATGTAAGTTTCCAATTCATCATCTCTTGGATGATGAATCTTTTGTGAATACAAAGTTACCCGTATCTCAAAAAAAGAATCTGGTCTATGGTCCATGGTTCCTGCTTGTATTTTGTGGTGCTTTCGGTTGGAAAGGAACCAAAGATGTTTTGATGGTATTGCAACTACCAGTTCCAATCTCAAGGCCAGATGCCTGACTACTCTTTATAGCTAGGTTAATCTTGCCACTGTATAACCCAGATTCCTTTTTGGATCTTATTAGCCCTTTAGTCTTACAATAGACCTTTGGATTTGTCAGCTCTTTAGACTTATGATAGGTTTGTATGAGCTGTTATCTCCTCTTTTGTAACTATGCATCTCCTTGACGCCTTTGTGATTTATAAAACACTTCATAAAAAAAAATATATGCTGGAAGTGTGTTCGAGAAATTGAGAGTGAGGGATCACGTGCTTTACTAAGTCAATAGGGACTGAGATGGAGAAAATCAACGAGATATATTTGTGGTAAAAATAGTTATTTATTTGTCTTGGTTTTGTAAGTTTTTCATTTTCATATGATTAAAAACAGACCTTTGTTTTGCAAAAACAGGTCCTGGACAAGAAGACATGGTTCAAGAATAGCATTTGCTCTGGATACAGGAAGCATTCCCAGTAGTGATGATCAAGATGGCCTCAATGGTGATGGTCGTGATCTAGGTGGAACCCGTTTGGGGAGGATAGTAGGTGCTGGAGGCAGACAGTTCTTGGAGAAGCTTAATTCAGCTCGGAAAAATTTTCCTATGAAAGTATTTCTGCTCCTCTTAGGTTTTTATACGGCAAATGCCTTGGCTACAATCCTAGGACAGACTGGTGATTGGGATGTATTAGTAGCAGGAGTCGTTGTCGCTGCAATTGAGGGAATCGGAATGCTGATGTATAAAAAACCTCCTTCTCTTCCATCCAGGAGGTTTCAGTCTCTGATTTCAATGATGAACTACTGGAAAGCAGGTGTTATTCTAGGTCTCTTTGTTGATGCTTTCAAACTAGGCAGTTGATACCTTTCTAAAATATCTAAGGTTAATATTGTTGCAATCTCCCTTCCATGGGACTGGTTCATTGACCTTACTTGTTTTATACGCATAAAACTTAATAAAAGTAAAACTACTTGTACACTCTATTGTATAGTTAATTATTGTCCCAGATGGTACCATATATGCCCACAGTAGGATGTGTTTAACCATGTTGTATGAAATCCTGAGATGAAGTTGAAGTTTTGTTTGGACATGTAATTTGGACTTTTCATGTTGTATGTCTTCTCATGAATATAAAAATCTGATAAGCGGTAAAACTATTAAAATTGTTCCAATTCTTTAGACAATCATGCCAAATAATAAAAGTTTATAAAATAACATATATAATGCACTATCACAAAGATATTCTTAAAAAATGCAACATCTATTGATCAAGTTTTAGTTCAATAAAAAATAAAATTGGACATGTTGTAGTGTACTAGTCTTTAATATAATTCTCCTACATATTACAAACAATTCTCTCACGTTGAACTTGCATTTCTCGATCATACATTTATTTATTTATTTTTGTTCTAATCAGCACCTTTGTTTATGTTTAATCAATTCCTGAATTGAATAATTTGGGACAATCAAGACCGCATGTTAAAAACCATTTATCTTTATGTTTGGTGTGTCAATATTAAATATAATGCATGTCATCGAATGAAATATACAACTTACAATTTAATTTTTTTAAGGTTGTTTGGTGTGTCCCTTGAATTTTTGGAAAATATAGAAAAGTGAATATGGATTCATTCACCTGTTATGTGGACCATTTGCAATTATATGATTTTAAAAGATGCATCTATGAGATGGTCACATGTACTTTTCTATCAACTTACCATTGGTTTTTGTGAGGTTGTTTACTCAAAATTTTAAATTAAGAGCACAATTTCAAATTGTAAATTATATTGATGTAACGACTCATTTCTTAGTCATTAGTTTTGTTTATTGGTTTTAAGATCAATTCCTTAGTCATTAGTCTTGCTTCAAGATTTGGTATCTGAATCCCAATTCCCCTTTGATGTTAGGTTTGTTAAATGTTCTATTTTAGTTTCTTCAAAATCTGTAACCATGTATATCGAATGTGATTTAGTTTATGATTTAAGTCTTTTTTCCCAGATTTTAGCTCATTAGCAATTCTTAGCCTCTCCAAGTTTCTATTTGAAATATGATTTGTCCTCTCCTATTAGTTATTTTTTGGTCTTTGCCATGAGTAACTTTAATTCAGGTAATATTAATTGCATCGTTAGCATGATTTTCAGATCGCTTGTGTCATGTATTTACTTTATTTATTATTATTTAGATATGCAATAGTTAGATACAATGTGAGGTTTGATTTTGATTTCATTAAGACAGTACTTTTTTGGTAGAAATGAGTTTGTTAGTTTAACTGTGATGAAGGATAAAAATAATTATTTGTGCATACCTAATTGAAAAAAAATATTTAAATACACATCTTATTTCATCATGATTTCTAAAATTTCCTACCATTTAAAAAAATTATAAAAATTCCCTCTCGGATATATCCCTATCCTCTCTCAGATAAATCCCTATCTCCTCTCGGATCTATCCCTCCTAACTCGGATACATCCCTATTCATCTTGAATACATCTCTTCCCTCTTAGATACATCCTTCCCATTAAGTAATGTATTATTCGCAATCTGTGAGCTATGTATCTGTAGGTTTTCTAATGTATCCGAGATACTATAATTTTAAGGGATTTTTGTAATTTAGAAAAGAATAGGGATAAGATGTAATTAACTCTTAATACCATGGGAGTTATGCAATTTTTACTTAATTAATTAACTTTCTTTATTGCCTTTTAAAAATGAATGCATACGTAAGAGATATGTCTTGCTTCCATTCATTTTTTTTAAAAAGAAAACAAGTACAAAGTTGTATGTATTCTTGTGATTGATTCAAATGGAAATTAATTTATTATATAGACTTGATTAAAGTTTCACTTACTAATTTCTACCCCATTTGCTCACTATGAAAAGTGTGAACTGCTCTACTGGGTCTACAATAGACCTCTCTCCCTTTGCATTTAGAATGGGCAATAGAGGCCCAAATTTGTTTCTTCTCGAGTCTGCCACGTCAAAATTGGAAGCAACTGTGTTGAGTTTGGAAAGGAAGCTGATATACAAAGGCAAATGGAAGCAAATATAAATAGAAGGAGCTGATATACAAGTCCATATACAGGAGATATACATGATATACACCAAATATACAGTGATTGTATACATTGAGATACAGCGAAATGGGTCAAATCCCAACGTTTCAGCAGCAGTAACAACAGCTTAAAAAAGGTTAGTTAGGATCCAAGACCCAAGTTTTTTCTTTAGTCTTCTTTCCCTAAATATTATTGTGCTATTTGATTTGCTTAATTCAAACTTTAACTTTAGATTAAATTAATTAAATACCTTAAAGATAAACCATGTTTGTTATGATGATTTACTCAATTTAAATAACTTTCTTTACTTAGTCATTTTTTATTAGCTTTACTCTTTCCAAATTATTTTAAGTGCTTTAAGTTAATTTCTTTTCAAATGATTTTTAAATGTCTTTATTTACGTTTAAGTTTTTTTTTTTTCCAAAAGTTAGTCAAATAAGTTTTCAAATTGTTGGATAACGACAAGTTAGATGCCATTTTGAGTGCTAACACCTTCTCAAAGTGGAAATTTGAACCTCTTACCCTTTTCACTAATCATTTTAAGACTTATTCTATTAGTCTTTTAAATATTAAGTTTTCTTAATTTGTTCAAAATAATAAGTGGCGACTGTATTTTTCCTAAAAAGTTCAAATCAATTTTAATATTTTTCCTCGTATAACAAGTGCAATAACCAAGCACGAGTAGTAAAATAATAGAGAAATGTAAGATGGATCCGGCTACAATCAACCAAACAAACATGCTTGACAAGGCATAGTTCAAAACTCCACAACGGAATTTAAAATCAATTGTCACAAAATTAAAAATTATCCATTACTAGGCATCAAAACAACACACAAATGACCAAATCAAACAACACACAACTTCAAAGTTAGCATTGTCCGCAATGCTATTGAAATAACATGGGGGAAAATAGTTCCTGGATCAATCTTTTTCATCATCTACCTCTATCTCATTATCTGTGTCATCAATGTGCTCCTCGAACGATGCACTAGACTCTACTCTACCTCGTTGCAGATGAGCTGTCGTTCTTGGGGATGGCTCCATGGCATGCTGCATATCTGCCTCTTTCTCTTCGGCCTCTACCTCCGAAATTGTCGTGCTCCACATCAAAGCATATATCTCTCCAAGTGTATTCTTTGGAGCTCTCATTATCTCAGCCAACATAGCCATATTATTTCCCCCCATGGAAGCTTTCCCTTTCAATTTTTTCTTATTAGTTTTCAAAGTATTGACATCTCCTTCTACGTTGTTTACACTATTGGTCAAACTCCTCATTGCCTTTTCAGCCGCAACTCGGGCATATATCTTGCAAGACTTTTCAATTGGCAGTCATTGGAATAAGTTACTTCCATAAGTGTGTAGTTTCCTCTCTCATCGAGGCATATCCCGACTATACGGGTGATGGTGCATCCATAGTATCATGAGGGAAAAGATTGGTATCCATAGTATCATCCAGGGGTTCATAGATGAGAGATTGTACATTGTCAGTTCAAGTGCCACACCCGGATAAAAAACTGGCAAGTAATTGGGCTAACTTGCATTACATTGGTGTTTCTCTAATGGAGACTTGCGGTTCACAAGTGAAACGCCAATCGAGGGTTAAGGAATATTGAACATTCCCTTAAGACCAACGTTTAACCTGCAAAACTCAGGGCAACCATTGTGAAGCGCAAGTATGTCACAGTTGCCTCTATAGCAAAAAGTAGTCAAAGTTCAACTCGACAAATTCATAAATCAATTCCAAAGGGTATTCATACTTCCCAAAAGGATTCACAAGGCGATTTCAACAAATATTTGACGATTTCTCTTAAGAAAGACGTCACCCCGTCTATCATTGGGAATCTTCAAGCATACAAACATGCAATTTGAGCAATTTAACACCCGTCGTTCATAATTTTATCATCACTGCAAGATAACAATCACTCAAATCATATCAACAACATTTAAAGATGCTACGTACTTACAAATTTCAGTCCAAAACACAAATATTCACATAATGACGAATTCCTCCTTAGGAATGACGTCACCTAATCATCATAAAGCAATTTCATGCACTATATAAACACAAAATAGGTTACTCAGACTTCACTCCCAATTCAAATTTTAAGCTATCTAAATCAGATTTCACATGCTATTCACCATTATCAAGCACATTTAAATCAGATCTAGCAATTTCAAGCATAAAATCCTTTTTCTAATCATCAATTTTGAAATCAACAAATATGTTTTGAAGAAAAACTAGGTTATAGCATGAAATATTTACCATAATGTCACCTTATGAAGCTTAAAATCAATAAAATAGAGTAACATACCAAATATTGTAGAGAGTAAGGAGAAAAAGCAAAGAGCTTCAATGGAGATTATCAACCTCAACTCAAGAACTTCACCAAATAGGGTTTTCAGGTTTTGAGAATGGAAAGAGTTTGGAGAGAGGTGAAGGAAGGAAAGATGGAGGTTTTTAAATAGAGAGTGGAAGAGGTTTGGGAGTTGGGAGGTTTAATGGTGAATGTAGAAAATTAATGTGGGAATAGAGGTTAAGGGGAGTGTACATGGAAGGTGGTGAAGAGTTTTGGTTTTTGGGAAAAAGACGGTCAAAATCCGGCACTTCTAGTTCTTTAAGAGTCAAAATTGAAACATCTTCTCATTCACCTGACTTGCGCGTGATTGGCGACACGCCAACCGCAACCGTATGATGCCAATCGCAGTGCAGATGTTGCAGAATCTTGCCAGTGCACCGAGTCACACGTTTCAACTGGCATTGTATAATTTTTTTGACTAGTGAACTGCAAGTTTTAAAAGTTTTTCCAAATTATCTATTGGGAACTTGCATTTGGTGTTACGCTTGTCTAGCCCAAAAACAATAAAAAGTGAAGTTAAAAGAAAGAAA